AAATTGGAATAGCAGTGCAGATACTGTTTACCTCTAGATAGACGAGAAGACCCTATGCAGCTTTACTGTTACTAATTACAAGAGTGGACGTTTAGGATGATTTATAGTGTATAAGGTAGTTGAAAGATAACAATGAAACACCTTTATTCGAATCCTAATTTATTCTCTTGATGATTGGGAGGCAGTTTATGCGGGGCACAGATCCCACAAAAAGTACCTGGGTATATCCAAAGTTCATATTGTAAACTTGTATGTTTACATACATATATTTTAATTTGTAATAATTATTATTATAATTATACAGTTATTATTCGATTAAATTCTACATTTATTTTTATTTTAAGTAAGATTTTAACTATGTGGTGAATAGATGTATTTTAAACTTTAATATTTAAAAGTTTTTTGTTATGTTTAAGTTGTATTTGTCAATTTAAATATGATGTTTATTTATACTTTAAAAGTTTAATGGCTTAATCTTGCTTTACTGTTTGACCTACGAGTCTATCAGTCGCGTAAGCGGGGCATATGATCACAAGATGCATTAAGGAAAGGTCTTGGATTATAGAAAAAGTTACGCTAGGGATTTATAACTGTGAGTCCTCCAATATTTTAAAATATTGGTAATATATTGGGTAAATTTCAAAGACAACTTATATTAATTAAGTGTATTTGAAGCGAAACTTATTTAAAGCATTAATTTATCATTGTGGTAAATTTAAATAAGGACGTTCAACGACTAAAAGGTGAGTATAGCTAACAATAATCCTTTTTTAATGCCCAACATCTTTATTAACTAATAGAGGTTTATATTTATATATAATACCTCATTTATTTCATTGTATAATTATTATTATTATTAAATAATAATGTAATAGACTTGGTAATCAAGCTTAAATATTATACAGTTAATAAAATTAATTGTATTAATATATTTAAATACATAAAATATGTTAAATATTATAAAATCAAAATTAAATAATACATATAAGAAAAAATCATTAAATAATGCACCTGAAGTTAAATATGATAAAGATTTAGTTCCTGCTGTAAGTAATTGAAAAAGTAGTATTTATTCTTATAAAAAAAATGCTATAAGTTTAATACCAATTAAAAGTAGATTTGTAATGAAATTGATAAAAGGTTATTTTAATTCATATCATTTAGAATTAGAATCACTTTTAAGAAAAGAAAGATTACGTCGTAGATTTAGAAAAATATCAACTAATAGAATATTTATTAGTGATGGTGAATTTAAGCATACAAATGATAAAGTTAATATAACTTTATATGTATATAATAAACAAAAGCTTAATTATCTACTAAAACTAAAAAATAGATATACTAAATTGTTTAAAAAATCTAAATTTACAAAAAAATTAAAATTAATTAGACAGGTAGGATTAAATATATTAAATCAACAAAAAGTAAAAAGTGCTGTTTTATCAAATGTTTTACCAAAATATAATTCAATGATACATTCAGTAGAAAATATATACTATAAAAGATTTATAAAAAAAGTTTAAAAAGACTAAGATATTATATGCTTTATAAACAAATACTTTATATCAATAAAGCTAAATTTGAAAATTCATATTTACAAGGTTTAATTAATTTAATAAGAAAGATATATAATAAAAACGTTGAGTTTAATATTATTAATTTAAAATATTTTTATTTTAATAGTAGTATTTACTCACAACCATTAGAATTAAAATTAAAGAAAAAAAGAAATGTATTAAGATACCTTAAAGTATTAATAAGAAAAGTAAAATTGAAAAATATTAAATTAGTAGAAAAAACAAAACAATTTTTCACAATTAATAGTTTTGATACTAATAGTTCAATAAATGATTTAGTGCAGCAAGATAAAACAAATACAAAATATCTGAAAAAAATTATATTAAATGATATAAAATATAAAAGAGTATCAGGTGTTAGATTAGAAGCTGCTGGTAGATTAACTAGACGTTTTTCTGCTTCAAGATCTAAACGTAGAACTAAATATAAAGGAAATTTAGAAAATGCTTATTCTTCAGATCAAGGTTATCCTACACCTCTTTTAAGAGGTAATTTTAAGTCTAATTTACAACGTACTGTAATTAACTCTACTTCTCGTGTAGGAGCTTTTGGAGTTAAAGGTTGAGTAAGTGGTACTTAATGTAAAACTAAAATTTAATATCAATTATCCCATCCTAAAATTAGTTAATAAAGATGATGAAATAGTCTGAACCGTTTTGAGAAAAATGGAAATAAAAGTAAATAGGTGTATATTTATACGCTTATTCAGCTAATGGCTGAATCTTTTATGATAACATAAATTGAACAGGCTAATTTGCGCAAGAGAGTACAAATTGAGTGCGCGGTTTGGCACCTCGATGTCGGCTTAGCTCATCCTCATGCATGCAGAAATCATGAAGGGTTCGACTGTTCGTCGATTAAAGAGCTACATGAGCTGGGTTTAATACGTCGTGAGACAGTATGGTTTCTATCTTCTAGAGGAATTTAAAGTAAATTAAAGATAGCCCCTTCGTACGAAAGGAGTTGGGTATATTGATCTCTGGTTTACCTGTTGTTTATGGTATATATAAATTTTATATTTATATATCGAATGCTTGTACTGAAGTATTTTGATCCCATAGGCATGGCAGGAAAGCTACATCAGTTAAAGATAAGTGTTGAAAGCATCTAAACGCGAAGCAAACTTTATGATACTTTTAAACGTAGTAGAACACTACGAGTATAGTTGTTATATATTTATATATAACAATTTATAGGCTTTAGTTGTAAGAATGAAAACATTTTTAGATATAAAGTACTAATTATTATAATGATACTAGCTATAGCTCATATCGTTTTATTTATTGGCCTTTTTAGCATAAAAGTAATGCAACCGTTTTGTAATCGGTAGAAGTGAGTGCGATACTTGCATTAGGCTAAATTTAATATTTATCTGTTATTATTAAACATTTATACATAAAGATAACCAATCTTTTTATGTTTATTAGTAATAGGTTAACAACAATAATCAATATATATATATTTATATATTGTATGCAATATAGTACTTTGCAGTAGTAGAGTAATATGATTTATTTATTGTTGTAAAAAATAGATCCAATGGTCAAGTATGGTTAAGACATAACATTTTCACTGTTAGTGCGGGGGTTCAAATCCCCCTTGGATTAATATAGGTTTAATATTTATATATATTTATATGTATTAATCTTTTAAAGAGATTAGCTCAGTTGGTAGAGCTGTCGCTTTACACGCGAAAGGTCAGGTGTTCAAGTCACCTATCTCTTAAAGCGGATTAATGTAATAGTAACATATATGGCTCATGCCCATAAAATTTAGGTGCAACTCCTAAGTCCGCTACCAAAGACTATAGCTTAATCGGTAAAGCGAACCACTCATGATGGTTTGAGTAAATGTTCAAGTCATTTTAGTCTTATTTAATCCGAGTGCTGGAATTGGTAGACAGTCTTAATTTAAGCTTAAGTGGCGCAAGCCGTAAACGTTCGAATCGTTTCTCGGGTATATATAATAAAATATATTATTAATGTTTTATATTTTATAATAATAATTATTTATAATTATTTATAACAAATAAAGGGGTTATAGTTTAACTGGTAAAACGACGATTTTGCATATCGTTATTTCAGGATCGAGTCCTGATAACTCCAATAATACTAAATTTAATTAGTGTTTAATTAAATATAATCAAATAAATATTATATTTATTTGATTATTAGCTTGAGAAGCTCAATTGGTAGAGCGAATCATTGAAGCTGATTAGGTTGTAAGTTCAAATCTTATCTCGAGCAATTTATGCTTTCATGGGTATGCTGAAATTGGTAACCAGGTTCCGCTTAGGACGGAATAGTTTTATACTTTACAAGTTCAAGTCTTGTTACCCATAATTTATGTTGTCGACTAATCGGTAAGTCATAAATTTTTGGTATTTACTATTGGGTGTTCGAGTCGCCCCAACATAATATATATTATTAGATTTAGATCTAACAATTTTAGCCAAGATAGTTCAACCGGTAGAACAATAATTTCATGAATTAAGAATGAGAATTCGAATTTCTCTCTTGGCTTTACTTACACAATAATGTAATGTATATATATATAAAGTATATACATAAGCATAATATTGTATATTATGGTTAAAATTATTATAAATAAAAAATAAATTATAAGACGACAGTTAGTAAAAAAATAGTTTAGAAGAATATAAATACTGTCCAGAAAATTATATGCAGTTATGTTAGAATTTATGGAGGTTAGATTTTTTAACCGTCTTGATGATATAAAAGCTTATAATTCTTCTATAAACAAAAAATATATATATTTATATAACATTAATATATATAGATTAGGTGGGTATAGTTCAATGGTAGAACAGCTGTATGTGGCATAGTATATCCTAGTTCGAGTCTAGGTATCCTCCCTTAAAAACAACATTACCCTACGTTAATGGATATGTGTTTAATATTATATAAAATAATTTTATGTTTTATAAATTAATAAAAATAAAAAAAGTTCAATATATTAAATATACATATGTATTATTACATACATAAAAAATAAATAAATTTAGTATATTTACAGAAAGTTGTATAAAGGTTTAATAATTTTAGAATAAACCAATAACATATAAATGAAAAAAATAAAGTTATTAACCTTTGTACGAAAGGTCTAATAGTGAAATTTATAGGCAAGGTAGAGGTTTCTCAACTTCAACAGTTAATTTAGGAGAAGTAGAACAAATACAAGGAAATGTCTTTACATTTAAACAACCTACAGAATGACAAGAAAGATGATTTTTATCTTCTAATGCAAAAGATATTGGTACTTTATATTTAATGTTCGCATTATTTTCAGGATTAATAGGAACAGCATTTTCTGTATTAATAAGATTAGAGTTATCAGGACCAGGTGTTCAATATATATCAGATAATCAATTATATAATAGTATAATAACAGCTCACGCTATAATGATGATTTTCTTCATGGTTATGCCAGCTTTAATAGGTGGTTTTGGTAATTTCTTATTACCATTACTAGTAGGGGGTCCTGATATGGCATTCCCAAGATTAAATAATATTAGTTTCTGATTATTAGTACCAAGTTTATTCTTATTTATATTCTCAGCAACAATAGAGAATGGAGCAGGAACAGGTTGAACATTATATCCTCCATTATCAGGTATACAATCTCACAGTGGGCCAAGTGTTGATTTAGCAATATTTGGTTTACACTTAAGTGGTATAAGTAGTATGTTAGGAGCAATGAACTTCATAACAACAATATTAAATATGAGAAGTCCAGGTATACGTTTACATAAATTAGCGTTATTTGGATGAGCAGTAATAATAACAGCAGTGTTATTATTATTATCATTACCAGTGTTAGCTGGAGGTATTACTATGATTTTAACTGATAGAAACTTTAATACTTCATTCTTTGAAGTAGCAGGTGGTGGTGATCCAATATTATTCCAACACTTATTCTGATTCTTCGGACACCCTGAAGTTTATATTTTAATTATTCCAGGTTTTGGTATAATTAGTACTGTTATATCAGCAGCATCAGGAAAAAACGTTTTTGGATACTTAGGTATGGTTTATGCTATGTTATCAATTGGTGTGTTAGGTTTCATAGTTTGAAGTCACCACATGTATACAGTTGGATTAGATGTTGATACTAGAGCTTATTTCACAGCTGCTACTTTAATTATTGCAGTACCTACAGGTATTAAAATATTCAGTTGATTAGCTACATGTTATGGTGGATCTTTACATTTAACACCTCCAATGTTATTTGCATTAGGATTCGTTGTGTTATTCACAATTGGTGGATTAAGTGGAGTTGTTTTAGCTAATGCTTCACTTGATGTAGCTTTCCACGATACTTACTATGTTGTTGCTCACTTCCACTATGTTTTATCTATGGGTGCTGTATTTGCATTATTTAGTGGTTGATACTTCTGAATACCTAAAATATTAGGTTTATCATATGATCATTTTGCAGCTAAAGTTCATTTCTGAATTTTATTTGTTGGTGTTAATTTAACATTCTTCCCACAACACTTCTTAGGTTTACAAGGTATGCCTAGAAGAATTAGTGATTACCCTGATGCTTTCTATGGATGAAACTTAATTAGTAGTATAGGTTCTATTATTAGTGTTGTAGCTACATGATATTTCTTAACTATTATTTACAAACAATTAACTGAAGGTAAAGCTGTATCAAGATATCCTTGATTAACTCCTCAGTTATTTAGTGATACATTCCAAGTTAACTTCACAAGAAATAATAGTTCATTAGAATGATGTTTAACTAGTCCACCAAAACCTCACGCGTTTGCTAGTTTACCATTACAATCTTAAAACTAATTAATTTTATTTCAATAAGTTCCTTATATATATACTAATATATATATTAAAAGGATATTTTAATGTATACTAATGTGTTTACATTAAAAGAATATATTTAAATACTACATTTATATTACACAATATAGTACTCTACGTAATACTATATCAAGTAGTATACATAATATAGGTATACACAATATAGGTGTTGTTATACAATTACGCTAAAACCATTTTCTTTTAGAAATTAAATTTATTTTTATATTTATTTTAATATATGTTACAAGCAGCAAAAATAATAGGTACAGGTATGGCCACAACAGGTTTAATAGGAGCAGGAGTAGGTATAGGTGTTGTATTTGGAGCACTAATACTAGGTGTTGCAAGAAATCCATCATTAAGAGGACAATTGTTTTCTTACGCAATTTTAGGTTTTGCCTTTGCAGAAGCAACAGGGTTATTTGCTTTAATGATGGCTTTCTTGTTATTATATGTAGCTTAATAGTTATATATTTTAATACTCTCTGTATTGTTTCACAATAATTACATAGATAAAAAAAAGTTAATTTATAAAAATTTAAATTAAAAAGAAAGATTATTTAGATATTTTATTATTTATTTATTAATATATGACAGCAACAACTTTTTTTTTATTTTTAATTCCAATATTAGGTATAGTATTGTTATTAGTTAATTTGATATTCTCACCAAGTAATGCTTATTTGGAAAAAGATAGTGCATTTGAATGTGGATTTCATTCTTTTTTAGGTCAAAATAGAACACAATTTGGTATTTCTTTCTTTGTATTTGCCCTACTATTTTTACTATTCGATTTAGAAATTTTATTAGTTTACCCATATGTAGTAAGTGCATACACTAATGGTATATATGGTTTAATAATAGCATTAATTTTTTGTTTAGTGTTAACATTAGGTTTTGCATTTGAATTAGGAAAAAATGCCTTAAAAATAGAAAGTAGACAAAGTTACGATGTAAAAACTAAATCTTGAGAAGGATTTAATTTAACATATAACTAGTATATGTTAAATTTTAACATATAAAACTAAAATATCAAATAGTATAAGTGTACATACAAAAATTAATAACTTTAAATTATTAAATAAGAAAAACAAACAAACAAAAAAAGATTATTAATTTTATGAATTTAATTTATAATATATTAAATATACAGTTGGACGCACCAACAGCTTGAGGATTATTTTTCCAAGACAGTGCTTCACCTCAAATGGAGGGTATTGAAGAATTACACAATAATATTATGTTTTATTTAGCTATTATACTATTTACTGTTACATGAATGATAGTAAATATTATAAAAAATTTTATAGCAAATAAATCACCTATTGCTCATAAATATATGAACCACGGAACTTTAATAGAGTTAATCTGAACAATATCACCAGCATTTATATTAATATTAATAGCATTCCCATCATTCAAATTATTATATTTAATGGATGAAGTAATGGATCCATCATTAGTTGTATATGCTGAAGGTCATCAATGATATTGAAGTTACCAATACCCAGATTTTACTAATGAAGATGATGAGTTTATAGAGTTTGATTCATATATAGTACCTGAAAGTGATTTAGAAGAAGGTCAATTTAGAATGTTAGAAGTTGATAATAGAGTTATCATACCTGAATTAACTCACACAAGATTTGTTATATCTGCAGCTGATGTTATACATTCTTATGCTTGTCCTTCTTTAGGTATTAAAGCAGATGCTTACCCAGGTAGATTAAATCAAGCTTCTGTATACGTAAATCGTCCTGGTACATTCTTTGGACAATGTTCAGAAATTTGTGGAATACTTCACAGTTCTATGCCTATAGCTATCCAATCAGTTTCAATAAGAGATTTCTTATTATGATTAAGAGAGCAAATGGAAGGTTAATTTTAAACATTAACTTAAAAACTTTAAACAACAAATAAATGATTATAAATATAAACTTTATTGTAATAAATTATAGTTTAAATTATTTATTAAAATATATTTTATATATAGTTATAAAAAAAAACCCAAAAATAGGGTTACAACTTTTATTAATATATAGATGTATATTAGGATTTTTATTTATTTGTTGTTTTATAAAAAAAAATCGTGTTAATTTAAAGGTAGAATATCATGCTACGAACATGATTATATAAGTTCGAATCTTATACACGTTAGGTGTATATTTATATTATAATATACATTAGGTACATATAATATTATTCATTTACAGGTAGCTGTTATAGCAATCTAAATATAATAAAAACTAGTAATAGTTTAAATATTTTTATATCAAAATTAGGTATTTATACCTTAAGTTCTTATAGCTCAACGGTAGAGCGGAATACTGTTAATATTTTGATAGATGTTCGATTCATCTTAAGGACTAAAAAACTGTAGTATAGATAAATCAAACATAAAAAAAAAAAAAAACAATGAGTTTTTCACTTATATTATTTTTTATAGGAATAGCAGGATTTGTTTTAAATAGAAAAAATATAATATTGATGTTAATTTCAATTGAAATTATGTTGTTATCAGTTACATTTTTAATATTAATAAGTTCTCTTAGTTTCGATGATATTTTAGGTCAAACATTTGCAGTATATATACTAACAATAGCGGGAGCAGAGTCAGCTATAGGTTTAGGTATTTTAGTAGCTTATTATAGATTAAGAGGAAGTATATCAATACAATATAAATAATGTATTTAACATTGATAATTTTACCTCTTTTAGGTTCTATAGTATCAGGTTTCTTTGGTAGAAAGGTTGGAGTGAGCGGAGCTCATATTATAACATGTGCTTCAGTAATAACTACTACATTCTTAGCAATAATAGCATTTTTTGAAGTAGGTTTTAATAATATACCTGTAACAATAAATGTAGCAAGATGAGTAGATGTAGAGTCATTATATGTATTATGAAATTTTAGATTTGATTCTTTAACAGTATCAATGTTAATACCAGTATTAATAGTATCTAGTTTAGTACATTTATATTCTATAAGTTATATGAGTCATGACCCACACAACCAAAGATTCTTTAGTTATTTAAGTTTATTCACATTTATGATGATTATCCTTGTAACAGGAAATAATTATTTAAT